CCCATAAACAACATATATTATCAGTTATAGTGGTGTTTTAAGTAAAGTTAACAAAAGAAAATGTGTAAAAGAAATAGAAGTTGAAATGTTGAACTTTGAAACAAATCAAATCTGCAAGCTCTTTGAAAACAAGGTTTATTTCTACTACTAATCATGTAAGAATTTTCTGCCTGTTTTGGTTTTATTGCTCATTGATTTGTTTAAACGTGTATAATGATTTACATGTTATTTAGGAAGACAAAGTTCTGTTATAATAATAAAAATATTTACAGTTCAGAGTTACAATGCAGAAAGCCTCTAAAATATATTATTTCCTAATGGAAGCAAAAGTATGTAAAGTAATAATCTAAAAGTCCTTATCATTTAATAAAAGAGTATTTTTAGTAATGAATAAGCTTTTATCTGATTAAAGTTATGAGCTGCTTTCAGATTTTTTTGTTTCTTTTTGTAGATATTAGGAAATTCCTTATGAAGGAACTAAAAATAATTTCAGAAAGTTTTTAATATGCAGATATGAAAATGATAGTGGCTTTTACCACAAGACCGCCTATTCAGTGGTAAAAATATTTCAGATTACAATAAGCTTCACTTGGAATAAATTGAGAAGAAAGCTCTCTCTGTCAGTAAAAGAAAGAAGTATTTTAAATAACCCTCATCTTCCATCTAACATTTTCAAGTACTTTATTGCACAAAAAAAAAAGTCTTTCTGAAGTCTGCCCTGAAAAGCTCTGCTGGACACCAACTCAGTTAATTCAAATGCAAATAAACTGTGAACTTCAACCTACTTCAAGCAATCCCTGCAAGCATTGCCAACTCTTCCCTCATTTAACTCTTTAGAACTTACTTTCCTAAGATTTGCACTATTCAGCAATGCAACCAAATAATTCACCACTTATTTTACATGCTGTCTGGTATAAAAAATGATTCATTTAATAGACTTACTATGATTATTTCTAGGATAGTAAGTGTAAATACCTGCATAAACACTGCTATCAAATAAAGCTAAAAATAGGTGACAAATACATATTTCCAGTCATTCTCATCTCCACTTGGTAAGGAATCATGCCTTGCTAAGCCACAACAACCTCTCTCGGCCAGTGTATTCAGCCAATACAAACAGAAGTAACTGGCATAGAGGAAACAAGAGATACCGGCAATTAGGGAGCCTTTCTGAAGTTCTTCTGCCACAGTAACTGCACAGAAATTCCTCGATCTGCACTGGCCCATCCAAATGAAGACACATCTATTGATAAATGCAACTTCTACAAATGAGCACAACGACCAGAACCTGAAAAATAGTGCAGAATAGAATAAAGCTGTGGGTTTGATTTTTCTTGAATATTTTTCCTGGGCAGTACTAACCCTTGATATTGGAGGTTTTAGAGGGAGTTTCACATGGCACTATTTTCAAAGGTGCTAGATTACCACTGTTCTTGGTCAACCCACAGCTTTCTAAATATTTCTTTACTACAGAGAAAATATTTGACCTGCTGCTCTTCTGGTAATATGAAATTGTTCTTTGTCTTTTCTGCCTACTAGGAGGCAGGGAAAAGCATGTTGTGTTAAATATGTATCATATCATATGCAAACAAGTTTCCAGTCTTTTCATTTGCTGACAGCTATTCCCTATGCTTCAGAAGGTAAAAAAACAAAACAAACAAACAAAAAAAAAAGCTTGAACTAACATTTTGTAGCATAACGAACCAAGCTACACTGAATGGTTAATGATTATAGTCCTGCTTTTGCTTTGAAAAATTGTAAAATAAAGTCAAGAGCAGTATTTGAGTCATTGTTTTCCCCTGAGCCAGTGATTCACTCCTGCGATACTTAATGGCCACAATTATCCAGTAATATTTGTCAGTCTGGAGAAAAATAATCAGAAATGACTTCCTAAACTTCATTTGACCTCTTACCTTTGAGATATCAGTGCCAAGTTCAGATCTGTTAAATGGCAGAACTATTCCTGTTGAATCTCCATCATTAGATTTATAACTAACAAAACTGTGCAGAGCCTTGTTTTTAATATTGTTTTATAGTCTCTAAAAGAGAAGAGTGACAGAAAATTTGTATTTTCTGAAATGGTATATAAAGTCTCAGTTTGGAACAGTATGCATTTTTCTAAAAAAATCGAAGTTTGGTATTTTTAAAAGACATGATTTATGTGATTGTAATAAACAAATACTGAGGATTATTGGATAAACTCACACACAAAAAAACAGAATGAAAAACTGACATGATTAGGTAGACCTAGAACACACCTAGAACAGAGCAACCACAATATTTGGTCTTTTACTGATCACCATTTGCTGTCAAAGACCTTAAACCCAAAAATAACCAAGTGATCCACTGGAAAAAGTAAGCTTTGGACCCCTGACAGGGTTGTGCATATGCTGGTACTTTCAACAGTTTTAAACATGTGCCCTCATATGCACACCATCATGTGTTGGTCAGCTTAAGAAGGGTCCATTATGAAGCCCTTAAAACCCAAATTTTCTGTAAATCCTATTTTTGCAACAAAACCCCTCCCTGATTTCACATCAGTTCTGCAGTCAGCTGGTTGGTCAAGTCATTAACAACTTTTGCTGATGTTGCATTGATAAAGGACTTGGAACTGCATATTATACAAAACCATATCCTTACAAGTTTACAAATATGCTTGAACAAGGTTTACTACTGCAGACAGACTACTTTTAGCTAGAACCAATGACCAAAATTACTATGGCCCACACTTAATGTATGCATATATTTAGAACACCATTTTGGTGAAAAATATCAGTGCCATTTTACCTCATTTGGAGTACATGTACCATTCCAAATACCCATTTTTCAAACATGATTTATCAAATAAATCAGCCTAATATAAATAAAGGAAAAATATTACATAGAAAATACAATTGGATATAAATTTAAAAGAACAGAATTAATGTCTCAGTATCAAAGTTTATCATCTGCTTAATGCTGGTAAAATGACTGATCTCAGAAAGGTCAATGACTTAATCATTTAATGATGGAGATAGTCCTCTTAAGTGGAAAAAGACTACTGTATGAACAGAGACCACTCAAGTGAACAATGATTTGCAGATGCAGGCCCTGTATAAACATTAGAAGTTTAGATTTATAACTAGTGGGTTGGGATTGTAATGTTGTGGGGTTTTTTTCTCCTCAGTATCATTGTAGCATCTGCACCACATTGTTCAAAATAACTTTTTCAAAATAATTTTGTAATGTTTTATTTCAACGAGTAAACATCCTGAATTTCCATACCTTAAAAGCCATTATTTTAAATTATATCAAAATATTTCAAATTAATATTTATGCCAATGACAGGTGATAAAAGCTGTCTTAGCTGATGGATAGACTGCTAATGAAGGCTTTGCAACCAGTGTAAGTGCTATGTAATAAACTTTCATTCTCTGCTGTTGAGAGAGGAAGAAGACCTGTTTTATGACTGGGGGGAGAAGTGGGAGAGAACAATAAAACATATTTCCTAATTCTACCCAAATGCAATGAAAGCCTTGGCACCCTGAACTACTTCCTCCTCATTTTTCTAGCTTTCAGCTTTACCCATCAGTAGCTCTGTGCTGCTGCCTGATGGTTATCTTTATACTCTATCTCATACAAACATTCAGCAAACAGAACCCACATTAACATTAGGGAAATTATGCAGGAATAAAAAAATGCTACAATACTAAGAAACAGCCTCCTTTCATCAGCTTCATCCCATCAACAAAAGTTACTTTATGCTCACAGCTACTATAACTGCTAGCACTTGTGCAGGACAACTGCATTGAGAAACACTTGTGGTTTAGGTCCCAGTTCCTAAGAAAATTCATCGCAACCAAAAGAGTATGAAGTGCTATGTAATCCTGAAAAACACAAGGTGGAGACCTCATTTGCCTGCTTACTGTGTTCAGTTATCTCAGTAGCACCGGCTAGCAGCAGCAGCTTATTCCCTCTGGAATCTGCCTTAATCTCAGACAGACACCCCTGCCTGGCACTCAGCTCTGCGTGTGCAGAAGTCACTGCACGGTGCTCAGCTCCTGTTTGCACAAATCCCTGTTTGCACCGAGCTCTGCGTGTGCGCAACTCTGACAACTCACAGAAGCAGCAGCAAACTCCTCTGTGAAGCACAGCTCCATACCAAGCTCACCAAATGTTTAACACTGCTGAAAGAAAAAGACGTTACATCTGCCCACACTTCTCAGCTCTATTCAATTACTGACAATAGCAGTCCTATAAATGTAACATAATACGGTATTATTAAATCCAAGATTCGCATTTACGCCTAGTTGCAGCCTGGAAGCAGGCCTGATGCTCAGCCAACATCAAAGGACAAAAATTCACAACTTTCACAGACACACAAACCCCACATTGACCTTGGAGGCAGAGGTGGTGACGATCCCTTTCATAAAGGTGCTGTTTCCCAAGTTGACAGCGTTACAGTGCTGAACTGTTTGCCAAGTAACACGGTATCACCGTCCTTCTGTCACACACGGATACAGGCACGCACAGGAGCACAGAGCAACATGAGGCTGTGCTTTTAAATCCTCTTTAATTCCTCCTTTACTCTCCGCTTCCCAGAATGACCTCGCATATCCTGTCTTCCCCCAGACAGAATCAACCAGAGCTTCTCTAGTGCCCCACAAATGGGTATTTATACAAAGAAGGCTTTGCAATGTCTTTTGAGATCTTTCTATAATATTCAAGATTTCTAAAATAAAACATTTTCAACCATTTAAAAATTACCCCGAGAGCCAGTTTTCAATAAAAATAAGCCTTTAACTTTTCATTCAGATTCGTCTTTGGTTTATGGAGCCCTTTTCACTGAAAGCTGCGCCCCTTCTCCAAGCCTTGCCCCTCCATTGACCTAAGGACTACCAAGCTTCCAACTTTGCTCTGCCTTTAATTGCCAGCTCCTCCATCCCAACCAGCACCCTGCTACCGTTTAGGTAAAAAATATATACGCCTGTGTGTATATATACTTTAGTATTGCTGCTTACCTTGCCCAAGAGTCACTAAAATCCAAAAGGGGGGGAAAAAACCCCAAAACCCCCAGCTCCGCGGGTCCTCGTGCAAATCGCAAAGAGAGGAACACTTCTTCTTCCTTTAACAAAGCCACAAGCGGCTCCGCCGCGATCCGGCGAGCGAGCGAGCGAGGGACTAGTCCGGAGCCAAGTGGGCTGAGCTGCGGGCAGGCGCTTCCCGGCGGGAGCAGGGGAGGTTGGGCGGCCCGAGGCGCCGCGGGGAGCGGCGGGCGCCCTTCAGCACCCGGCGCTGCGCGGACAGCAGCGCTCCCGCCCGGCCCCGCACCGCCCGGCCCCGCTGCCGCCCGCCCCGCCGCGCCGCTCGCACCGCCCCCGCACCGCCCCCGCCGCCGGCCGGCCTCACAAACTTGCGCTCCGCTGCCGGCCGCCTCCTCCGTCCGCTGGTGTGGTTTTCTGCGGGGCAGCGGCGTGGAACGTCTCGTGTTGCCCCAGCCCTTCTCGCCGAGGGGCTCCCTGCCCGCGCAGGGGGCTGCTACCCCGGCTGGGGTCACCGAATCCCGCTCCTTCGGCTTCCCCTCCGCAGGGCCCGGGCCCCGCTCCCTTTGCCCTGGGCCGGGCTGCGGCACCCAGCGCCCGGGCAGATGGCAGCGCCGACAGAAGAGCAACTGCTGGGAAACAGCGAGGAGCTCCCTCCTGGAGCACAGAGGGGAACTGTGCCGGCGAGTTTCAAGCAGGGGGTTGTTAATGCAGTATTCATAAGCTTTAGTATATCAATGGGCCGTGTGAAAGCTCAAGTATGCTGCAGGCTTTGCACACCTGTGTCGGTAATCCCTGGCGTCCACACCAGACTGAGGTGCTTGAGCGCCAAGGTGGAGGTCCCTGGGATCCCTTGCCAGAAACATGGACGTGTGGCTGGTTTATTCAGTTACGCAGCTTATAACTGATACAGCTGGGTAATTTCAGTTATGCAAAACATAAGGGGGAAAAAAATCACCTTGAGGTAAGACCATTAATTACATGCTCCACTTATAAGCAGGAGAAGAGGTACCTTCAGATAAACAGGAGCAATCAAAATGAAAAATCCAACTGGAACCTAATCGCCTAAAAACTTTGAGATATATTATGTGAAGACAAGCAGAGAAACAGTATTTTGAAGTCTCACTTGAATCTGCTTTATTGTGAGATAACAGGTTTAGTTATCTGATTTATTAGTTTTAAATTAATTTACTATCTGCTCCACCACTTTTGAAGAGTAGCTCTTTCATCATCAATGTGAAATCGTTATGAAAATTAAGTATCTACTCCTCATGCCATTATAGATTACCTGTTTGTGCCTTTTGGGAAAATACGTTACAGATTAAAGTATTAAAGTGTCTTTAAATCACCCATGGCTAGGGTAAAGCCAGCCAGAGGTCAGCTGCTCTGACGTACATCAGCTTTCTAGGTTAATTGCACTTGTGTCTACATGTGGAATGAACACGTAGTGAGGAACAAAAGTAGGTAAATACCATACCTAAAACGTGAACTGGTTAACATAGGAAATAATAAAACAGGACAGTTGGATTGCATTAGCTTACTACTATTTTGTGAGGGAGTTCTTACTGGACTGATAATTAGGTCATGGCACTGCAAGAGGGAACATGATTAACTTCAACACACAGAGTGTGGAATATAAAGTCAAATAAACCCAACTTTCATTGACCCAACCCTTTCTAATTACCAACAGTAATGAAGGCAGCTTGTCTGGCATGAGTGTTGCTTTTCTGAAACCCTATTATTTTACTTCATTTCTCATTTTCCTTTTAAGCCCTGTTATGCTTTTTGCAAAGTACAGACAATATAGTTGAGCTACTTAAGGACAATTTTTGCAGTACAAAATTGACACCGTGTCTACTAGCACAGCTGCACCAGAAACTCTTGTGGGACAGAGGTAAACCCCAAACAGACTTGTTCAAAACCGAGGGGAAATTGAAATATTGTGAGTGTGAATAGGGACTTTGTTCATCCATCCTTCTTTGCCATTATGAAAGTACATGAAAAAAACAATCAACAATTACGTAGATGTTTTATATAACCCAATTATTGAAGTAGTCAGGAAATCAGTCAAATTATGCAAGCTCTGAGATATCATAACTTACTGCTTGGCTTTGCAGATTAGTAGACAATGAGTTCCCAAAACGGCATATGGAGGACCCTCGAAACTTTTGAATATCTCTGTATCTTACAAGGACTTGCACTCATAAACTTCACAGTAAATAATGATACCACCATGTAATACATTAAGGTATCTTGGCATTCTTGCATTTTTGAGTGTGTTTATCTGATCATGCATATCTTTATTCTTTCTAAAGTCATTGAGGTATTTAATTTAAAAGCTCATATTTATTTAAAATTACTCTAATGTATTTTTAGCACTGACATATTTTTTAATTTTTCCTCTAATTTAGATCTGTATCAGTGATAGACCATAGTTGGAAAATAAACTTTGCTCATTTATATCCTGACATCTTCTTAATGGATGGTCTTCTGCTTAATGGATATTATTTGTGAGCTCCATTTTTTACATTGTTGGCTCTGTTTTTATACACACAGAAGAAATATATGAATGATTTTTTTCTTGTTATTGTTTTGTGACACATACATTACATCATCACTTTTTTCAGTTCAAACATTTTCATCCACAGAGTAACTGGGATATTACTTTATTGGATGCAATGCAGACCAATATCTGTTATTGTAATGAAGAAGTTATTCTGTGCCTAACAATTAATTGCTAGTCCAGAGAGACTGTTGCTGCTTAGTAGTACATTTCTGATCTACATAACCTTCATTTGACACCTTATGATCATATCTGGCAGATCCCACATAACATGCCAGACTGTTTTCAGGTATATTCCTGAGCCCCATGTGCTTGGCAATCAGTTATGCCTGTATTTTCTACACCAATTATTATATTTGAAGCTTTTGCCATTGGGCAGAGGAGAACACATGCAGTAAATACTGGCATTTTCTTGTAAAGATGAGAAACACAGAACTTCAAAGCTGGTTTATGTTTGTTTAGACTATAGATATTAATAATAAAGATTCTCTATTTTTGTATTTATGAGATGCTGCTTAATATTATATCTGATACAGCAGGAAGTTTTATGCAAGACTAAGAGAAGACCAAAGTCTCAGTATATTAAAGGGAAGTTAATGCAAATAATAGGTGATAAAAGTTGTTTTAACAACTTATTCAGTATTGTCCATGCTGTGGTTTAATTCCAATTAGCAGTCAAAACCAGGGCAGTCAAGAATATTGGCTCTTAGCACTTTACAGCCTATTCATAACTCACTGAAGTTCAAACAATAGTCATTTTCTTTGACTAATCTCTTTTTCTTTGACTGTATCTCTTTTTCTACTGCAAAAAACTCTGGAGAAGGGGTTATATTCCTTGTAAACAGCATTGCACCCAAAATGAATGCAGAACTAGAGAGAAAGCATAGTTTTTCAGAAGTGAATAATTTTCCTTCTCTTGGCTTTTCTACCACTACCATTTTTAGCAAAATTAATCAATTAATTTAATTGGGTTGTTTTTTTTAATGCCTGCTTGGTGTTTTGTGTTAATAATCTGTAAGGGACAAAAGTAGGGCATTTTGAAAACTCACCTTGTTACTTACTCTTTAGATAATTCCAGTGACTTCTGTGTGGCTTGGTACCCCACTCACCACCTGAAAGTTCAATAACAAAATGTTATTCTTTTTGATATATCTTTAAACATTTGAATTGAAAAGTATTCTGATTAATAGTTACCAAAAATTTAGGATATCAATATCTGACACTACTAAATATTAATTAATTTGTTCTAAACAAGGCAACAGTTACAATGTGGTAATTGAGACTAAAAAACAAAAAAAAAATATTTTTTGTCTTTGAATGAAGAATATGCAACACTTTAAACACAATTATATATTTGTAGCTTAATATCAAAAGTTTTAGGCATGATAAATTCTAACAATAATGCAATCTTATTTCAAAATATACAGTTCTAAGTACTGCCCTTTGTAGGATTCAATTTCCACTTCTTCTTAAATTATTCCTGTTTTTTTTTTTTTTTTTTTTGATGACAACAGCTGCCCCTTCAGTACAGCTGTTACTAGAGAAGATCATTGATTAGCTTGAAGTCAATGACAGCAAAGGAACTCTCAGGATGCTCTGATATGAGATAGCATGGATAATCTGCCAAATCTCTCTCTCTCTCTTGCACACACACAGCATGAAGTTTGGACACATACATCTTTTCCTCATTTTCCACTGGTCTAATTCATTCAATGTCTGTTCAATGTTTTAATGGAAGATGATAGTGCATCCACTATAAACTCGAAATGCACAGAGACCTGGACCGGTGTTTTGATAACAGCAGGGCATCATAAGCACCAGAATGACAGACGCTGGCAAATGGCATAGAGGAAAATTAGCTTACTCATGGCTTGGAGAAAGCTTGTGCCAACCATCTGTCACAGGAGATCTCCCAAATGACAGCAAGGATCATAAAGGCACATTAAGGTTTTCCCTGTATCACCTCAAAGCCAGTTCTCCCAAAGGGACCCAAATAAAAGAAACATGTGCTATTGTTCACACACAAGAAAGCTACCCTTGAAATTCACCACAATAATTCAAATGCATGCCACAAAATAACAGATGTAGATTCGGAGAGTGTGGGGAGGAAGCCTAAGCTCTGAGGTTTGATCTGTAAATTTTTTCATTATGTTTAATAAAATAAATGCTATAAATTCATTTCAGTGTGTAGCAGATTTGCAATGATAGTGATTCTGACAAGATGACGTTGTCCCCATTTTCATCTTGTGAAAATAAAGTAATAACTGATTAAACAGGAAGGAGATAATACACTACAGAATTAAAATCCACATTAAAAATTAGTATTGGAAAATAATTAGGCAATGAGGATAAATATTTAATTTCATTATCTAGATTTTTTTCAACTTCGTTTGGGATAAAATAATTTCATTATTCATTACCGTTGAAATCTGAAAGCATACTACCACTCGATAGTAGATAGTATATATTCTATTAAAAAATTTAAAAACTCCACACTTTCCAAGAGAAAGCTGCAGATACTCAAT